CCATAGTGGATTCTCAATACAAAATATTAATAAAGATAAAGGCAAAACTTCACCTTAAAAAAAAAAAAAAAAAAAAACAAACTGAAATATATAAACTAACTTCAGCTTATAATAGTTTTACACAACTTTCACTATCGATCTTATCCTCTTCACACATTCTATCCTCTTTTATCTTTTCTTACAAACAACTAAATTAAACAACCCTCTCTATATTCAAATAGACTACAAAGAAATTCTTGCACTAAATAATATATATGACTTCATAAATACTACAAACCATCCTCAACTGTCACCACAAATTAACATCTATACACAAGATATACAATTAATATACAATATAATTAACTAACTGCAGATCAAAATCAACTTACTAATCTTTACTTCCTTATTCAAAACCTTGAATCTCAAGAGCTTCATTTTTATACTGATGCCTCAATTCAAAATCTACAATCACCAAACATAAAGTCTGGTATTGGCTGGATCTGTGAAAATAACTTATCTATCAAATTTAATGCAGCTACTACCTCCTACCCAAATATAATACGTACTGAACTGGAAGCAGTCATCTCTCTTCTTCTTGCAACCCTTAATAATACTTACATACATATCCATCTGGATAATAAGACAGCAATTAAAAACTTAAAACAAACCTATAATACCAAACCTTTACAAAACCAAAACTGGGACATCCTGCTTACTATTAATCAAATTAAGTTTATCAAAAATTTCACCTTCATTCTGCACAAAATTAAATCACATTCTAACTCTCTACACAATCAGGCAGACATGCTAGCCAAACGAAGAACAAACAAGCCTATTCTTAAAATCTCTTACAATTATGTAAACTTACCAATTCACTTCTAATGGTAAAACTACTTAATTCCTTTTAAAATTCGAACCATTATTAAAAACATTTATACTATACAAGAACTTTATTCTTGGTCTTTACTCAAAATATTCAAAGACTTAACCAATATACAATGGACTCTATGTTTTGATATTTTAAATTTTTTTAATAATAACCTATTTAAATATTTACTAAGAATTAAAATTCTAACTAACAATCTTCCAACTATAGAAACCTTAAATATCTGATACCATTACCTATATCCTGCACTAAATTGTACTCATTGCTCTAATTTAGAAGACACATTACACTTACTTTTCTGCCCAAACAATAACATTAATATTCAACAATCTCTAATCAACATAATCATCAATACACTTATTTCTCTTAAAATTACAAATACATCATCAATCACTATCCTTAATATCCTTCTTTGTCTCACACTTAACTCTTCTAACCCTCTCTACAATCTATTCTTATACTACATCTTGGGTATTTACCCCTTAACTATTTATTAAAACATTAAATCATACACTGCTAAACAAACTAAACAGTTCCTTATTCTTCTATCTAATAACTTACTTAATTAGTTCTATGATGAAATATAGACTATACGTAATATCTCACAACACCAATAAGAACAAGCCAGAAATATCACAGCTAAAACTAAACAAAACAAATATATCTTACCAAATACTTCTTCTTTAGCAACTAGTTCATCATCTATTTCACCTCAAACAGACATTTCCTCTTTTATTAAAAAATAGTTTATACAAGGTTTTTCTTTAACTAACTGTATTTTTTAATGCCATAATATATACCTTAGGTTTCCTCTAACCTAGTCTAGCTATATAATTATTTAGAATAATTAACAATAGCATTATATAGAAAATTAGGGGTATAATGTCGCATTGGGTGCCTCATTAGTAGCACAAGTGTAGTTCGAAATCTTTAAATGTAGATCTTTCTCTACTTTTTTAAATAAAGTTTCAACTATGGCATTTACAAAAAAAAAAAAAAAAAAAAAAAAAAAAAAAAGAATATTATTGTTAATTGGACTAGGAAAGATCAGAAAGTTGATAAGGTTATAAAGAAATACAAATAAATCTAAAAGATTTGGTTAATTCAGTAGATGAATCCTATATAAATAATTAGAATAAATAGAACAAATTAATCGAGGTGGATTTGGAACTAATTACGGTGCATTTTGAAAGGAGGCCTACTTTTATGTCCAAAAATTAATTTAAATGAACTAAAAAAATTAAAGTTGCATTAAAAAGTTTTCTGAAATTTTTAGAAGAGATAATTATATTAAATTTTTTTATTTGTATATTTATATATAGATATATATCATAATATAAATTGTATTCTATATAGTTTTATATAGATGCAGTTTTTACCTAAACAAAAATGGATTTAAAAATGAAAGGTTACCAATATGGTCATAATAAATGTACAACTAAAAATATTGAAAAATATATGCTAATAATATAATTTGTAAAAGGTAGTGACTTGTAAAATTATTTAACTAAAAATTTTATTCAAATAAAATTAGTTGAAGATAAATTGCCTATTCTTGCAAATATTGTGAATGGTTTTAAAATTATTCTTGAAAAAAATTTAATTCATCAAAAACTACATTGTTGCTATATTTTAATTAATAATATGATATATCTTATATTTTTGACTTTGGATTATCACATCTTCATAATTATTCAATTCAATACTCCTGAAATCTTTAAAGATAAACCATACACTCAAAAATCAGATGTGTATAGTTTTGGAATCAATATGTGGATGTTTACTTCTGAAATTGAACTATTTTATAATTATAAAGATGACAAAGAGTCTCAACTAACATTTCAACTAATGATATATAGTGGAACTTGGCCTCAAATAACAGATGAAACTCCACTTTGTTTTAGTAATCTAATGCAAAGATGTTGGGATCCTAAACCTGAAAAGAGACCTACTTCGTCTGAAATTTATGATGAAATGTGCTCATGGTACCATTTAAAAAATTAGAAAGAATTTAAACTTCTAATAGTAAATTACTATCACAAAATATGCAAAATATTAAACTTTCAGTTGCACCAAATACCTCTAATTCCTCTTTGTCA